TGCCCAGCCACAAAACTTTCACAGGAAGCACAAACTAAATGCCTGCTCCTGTGCTGTGAATATGACAGCTCACATCGCTGCCTATGTGAATCGGGGGTCCCAGTGGAGCGAGAACTGTAACTCACAAGACCAGTAAGTACATCAGGCCAGGCATGGTAGCTCACACCTGTCATCCCAGTGCTGCGGGAGGCCAAGGCAGGAGGATCGTCTGAGCCAGGAGTTAAAGATCAGCCTGGGTAATAGAGCAGGTCTCTGTCTCTACAAAAAATAAAAACAGGAATGGTGGCACATGCCTGTAATCCCAGCACTTTGGGTGGCCATGGCAGGTGCATCACCTGAGATCAGGAGTTTGAGACTGGCCAACATGGTGAAACCCTGTCTCTACTTAAAGTACAAAAATTAGCCAGGTGCAGTGGTGCGCGCCTGTAATCCCAGCTACTTTGGAGGCTGAGGCAGGAGAATTGCTTGAACCCAGGAGGCAGAGGTTGCAGTGAGCTAAGATCATACCACTCCAGCCTGGGCCACAGAGCAAGACTGTGTCTCAAGAAAAAAAAAAAAAAAATAGACCAAGCACAGTGACTCATGACTGTATTTCTAGCACTTTGGGAGGCCAAGGTGAGCAGATCACCTGATGTCAGGAGTTTGAGACCAGCCTGCCCAACACGGCAAAATCCCATCTCTACTAATAATACAAAAAAATAGTTGGGTGTGGTGGTAGGTGCCTGTAATCCCGGCTACTCAGGAGACTGAGGCAGGAGAATTGCTTGAATCAGGAGGCGGAGGTCACGGTGAGCCAAGATCATGCCACTCCACTCCAGCCTGGTGACAGAGTGAGACTCCGTCTCAAAAAAAACAAAAAACAAATGCACTTAACAAATAAAGACAAAAATGTGTACCGGGGCAATAAGTGACAATATGGAGGTCTAGGGCGACTACGTGGCCAGGGAAGGCGTCAGGGAGGAAGTGCCATCATAGCAAAACCTGGAGGTAGATGAAGGGGTGAAGCGTGACAGTATCTGGGGAAGGGTGTTCTAGGTAGCAGTCACAGCCAGTGCAAGGCCCCGAGGTGGGAATGTGCCTTGTGTATTAGAAGAGGGAGGAGGCCAGTATGGCTGAAGGTGGAGAGTGAGAGGTGATAGGGCAGATGGCGCAGGGCCCTGTGGGTCATGGAGCAAACTTGAGCTTTTTTCCTCTGAAGAAGATGGGAGCCATGAAAAACTACGCAGAAGAGCACATGTGCTGACCTCATGGTAAACTCTGTTCCCTCCCCCGTAAGCCCAACGATGATCAAATATGGCATCAACAACATCCGGGAGCTGGTGGGCCACAAGGTGAACCTGCAGATGGTGTACGACAGTCCCCTCTGCCGCCTGGATGCCAAGCCGAGGCCCCCTCCTACACAGGAGGCTGCATGACACGGACCACTCCAGGACAGCTCACCCTCCCCGAGTCCCTGCTGCCCCACTCCTTTGTATCCCTGGGCCAGTGACCTTGTATTTATGAGGCCTCTGTGAGGCCAGCCCCACCTTCCTCTTTCCCACCCGTCCCAGGGCCAGAATCCCAGGGACAAGAGGACTGGGTAGCAGGTTCCTTCTGTTGTCCTGTATGGTGTGTCCACTGTGAGGGTGGGCCCTGGGGAGACCTGTGGGTCACCTACTGTCTAATAAAGTGGGTAGTTGCCCCCATCTGGTGCCTTTCCTTAGGGGTGAGGGGTCTTGTTGGGTCCCCCTAGCTCAGTGTACCACTTGATGGTCAAAACTCTGGGTACTGGGCTGGGCGCGGTGGCTTATGCTTCTATGCTTCTAATCACAGAGCTATGGGAGGCCAAGGTGGGTGGATCACTTGAGGTCAGGAGTTCAAGACTAGCCTGGCCAACATGGTGAAACCCTTTCTCTACTAAAAATACAAATGTTAGCCAAGCATGGTAGTGGGCGCCTGCAGTCCTAGCTACTTGGGAGGCTGAGGTGGGAGAATCACTTGAACCCAGAGGTGGAGGTTGCAGGGAGCTGAGATCACGCCATTGCCCCCCAGCCTGGGCCACAGAGTTAGACCTGTCTCAAAAAAACAAAACTTAGCTCAGCATGGTGGCTCATGTAATTCTAAGTACTCCAGAGATTGAAGTAATCACTTGCGCCTGGGAGGTTGAGGCTGCAATGAATGGTGATTACACCACTGCGCTCCAGCCTGGGCAACAGAGTGAGACCCAGTCGTTAAATACATACTTACGTGTCTAAATAAACACAAGTACCCTGGAATCTGTTACCATGTCTATCAAACCTGAACCTTGGCCATATAGGGATGAAGAGCAAGCTTCCTTATTGCCCTCTGAACTTCCACTGAAAATCACTGACAAAAGGCAGATTAATAAAGAGAAAAGGTATACAAATTTATTTGATCATAGTCTCACCTAACAAGCCTTCAGAATCAAGACCCAGAGATATAAGGAAAACTGTTTTTATTGTTTTGTTTTTGAGATGGAGTAAGGCTGTTGCCTGGGCTGGAGTGCAGGGGCGACCTCAGCTCACTGAAACCCCTGGGTTCAAGGGATTCTCCTGCCTCAGCTTCCCAAGTAGCTGGGATTATAGATGCCTGCCACCACATCTGATTAATGAAAAGTGTCTATTTTTGTGCTTAGGTTTAACAAAGTTTGAACACCCAGGTAGAAAACTGATTGGACAAAAAAGGGTTTGTCACGGTTCATGCTTATAATCTCAACATTTTGGGAGGCTGAGGCAGGTGGATCACTTGAGGCCAAGAGTTTGAGACCAGCCTGGGCAGCATGGAAAACCCTCATCTCTACTAAAGATAACAAAAATTAGTTGGGGATGTGGTCCATCTGTAATCCCAGCTACTCGGTTGGCTGAGAATCACTTGAACCTGGGAGGGCAAGGTTGTAGTGAGTCAAGATCTTTACTACTGCACTCCACTGTTGCCTGGACAACAGAGCAAGATTAAAAAGAGTTGGGGGTGGTTGTCTGATACAAATAGGCTGAGTAGATAAACCTAACAAGGCCTGGGTGTCCGGATTCTTCTTGGAATATAAGGAATGCATGCTCAGAGAAGCCAAGAATCCAGATAGATAGGCCTTGTGTGGGGCAGAAACTTCTATGACATAGGGGTCTTATGACCTAGAGTCAATAGGGTAGGTCAGATAATTTCTTTTTTTTGAGACAGTACTTTGGGAAGCCAAGGCAGGAAGATTGCTTGAGCCTGGTAGTTTGGGATCAGCCTGGCCTCAGCACAGAAAGATCTCATTTCTACAGAAAATATATATATTTTTTGAGACAGAGGAGTCTTGCTCTGTCACCCAGGCTGGAATGTAGTGGCATGATCTCAGCTCACTGCAACCTCCGCCTCCCAGGTTCAAGCGATTCTCCTGCCTCAGCCTCCTGAGTAGCTGAGACTACAGATGTGTGCTACCACACCCAGCTAATTTTTGTATTTTTAGTAGAGACAGGTTTTGCCATGTTGGCCAAGCTGGTCTCAAACTCCTGACCTCAGGTGATCCACCCACGTCAGCCTCCCAAAGTGATGGGATTACAGGTACGAGCCACTGCACGCACCAGAAATTTTTTTTTTTTGCGATGGAGTTTTGCCCTATCTCGGCTCACCTCAACCTCCGCCTCCTGGGTTCAGGCAATTCTCCTGCCTCAGCCTCCCGAGTAGCTGGGACTACAGGCATGCACCACCATGCCCAGCTAATTTTTGTATTTTTAGTAGAGATGGGGTTTTACCATGTTGACCAGGATGGTCTCGATCTCTTGACCTCATTGATCCACCCACCTCGGCCTCCCAAAGTGCTGGGATTACAGGTGTAAACCACCATGCCCGGCCGCAGAAAAATATTTTTATTTATTTATTTTTGAGACGGAGTTTTGCTCCTTACCCAGGCTGGAGTGCAATGGCGCGATCTCGGCTCACCGCAACCTCCGCCTCCTGGGTTCAGGCAATTCTCCTGCCTCAGCCACCTGAGTAGCTGGGATTACAGGCACGCGCCACCATGCCCAGCTAATTTTTGTATCTTTAGTAGAGACGGTTTCACCATGTTGACCAGGATGGTCTCAATCTCTTGACCTCGTGATCCACCCACCACCTCGGCCTCCCAAAGTGCTGGGATTATAGGCCTGAGCCACAACGCCCGGCCATATTTTTTAAATTAGAAAGGCATGGTGGATGACATTGGTAATCCCAACTACTCAGGAGGCTGAGGCAGGGGGATCGCTTGAACCCAGGAGGTGGAGGTTGCAGTGAGCCGAGATTGCCCCACTGCACTCCAGCCTGGCGACAGAGCAAGACTAAGTCTTAAAAAAAAAAAAAAAAGCTGGGTGCGGTGGCTCACACCTGTAATCCCAGCACTTTGGGAGGCCGAGGCGGGTGAATCACGAGGTCAAGAGATCGAGACCATCTTGGTCAACATGGTGAAACCCTGTCTCTACTAAAAATACAAAAATTAGCTGGGCATGGTGGTACGTGCCTGTAATCCCAGCTACTCGGGAGGCTGAGGCAGGAGAATTGCCTGAACCCAGGAGGCGGAGGTTGCGGTGAGCAGAGATCGCGCCATTGCACTCCAGCCTGGATGACAAGAGCAAAACTCCGTCTCAAAAAAAAAGAATTTGTTACTGAGAATATTTCCCAAGGCAGAGCACATAAAGTTAGAGCGGATAAAGTACAGAATAAATACAAGACTCTCTGATAGCCCTATAACCCGGGCGCTGCATGGGACCCTGAAGTCTCCCACAGCCACACACGGGTGGCCAAACACGCGCACGCGAAGCCTACCCTACTGTTCCTCGGCAGCGCCTGCGCGTGCAGCCCCTGGACCGCCAAACCGCCGCTTAACCGTCGGCCCCGCCCGGCTGGTCGCGGAGTTCTCAAGGGGGCGGGGCTAGGAGTACACGCCAAGCGTGCGAGCACAGCTCGCCAGGGGCGGGGCCGGCGCATGCGCAAAGGGTGCGAGTTAGAAGGCGGGAAAAGACAGAATGGAGCGACAGGGAGTACGCTACGCTTGTTTCCTTCGCGCGTGTGGGGCGGGCGGACAAATGGGCAGAGAACGGCTGCGATCCGAGCCTTCTCCTGCGGACCCGAACCCGGCCACTTGTCTTTTGCCATCGAGGCTGCCTCTCATCAGGCCTGGCCCCAAATTTCCTGACTGACTGAACCTGGCCCTGACTGACGCCCTGACAGTCTGATTTCCACACATAGCGCCTGGCCTGAGTGGAGTAGAGAAAGGCACAGACACCCACGCACCGTACCCGGCTTTCTTTCTTTCTTTTCTTTTTTTTTTTTTTTTTTGAGACGGAGTTTCACTCTGTCGTCCAGGAAGGAGTGTAGTGGTGGGATCTTGGCTCACCACAACCTCCGCCTCCAGGGTTCGAGCAATTCTCCTGCCTCAGCCTCCCGAGTAGCTGGGATTACAGGTGCCCACCACCACACCAAGCTAATTTTTGTGTTTTTAGTAGAGACGGGGTTTTACCATGTTGACCAGGCTGGTCTCGAACTCCTGACTTTGTGATCTGCCTGCCTCGGCCTCCAAAGTGTTGGGATTACAGGCATGAGCCACCGTGCCGGCCTCATGTCTTTTCTATTGTTTTTTTGATTCAGAATCTTGCTCTGTCGCCCAGGCTGGAGTGCAGTGGCCTGATCTCTGCTCACTGCAACTTCTGTCTCCTGGATTCAAGCGGTTCTCTTGCTTCAGCCTCCCGAGTAGCTGGACTTACAGGCACGTGCCACCATGTCTGGCTAATTTTTATATTTAGTAGAGACGGGGTTTGAACATGTTGGCCAGGCTGGTCTCGAACTCTTGACCTCACAATCTGCCTGCCTCAGCCTCTCAACGTGCTGGGATTACAGCATGAGCCACCTCGCCCTGCCCCGACTTCATTTCTTTTCTGCTACCTCTTTCTCAAAGGACTCCAGTTGACACACATACCAGTTAGGAGCCCAGGCCCTCCAGTTCTGCTCCCACAGCCCTGCCCGCATCCAGCCCCTCCAGGTCTGGTGTCCAGGCGTTCCCCAGGGACAGAGGGTCCTTTCACCCCACACCCCTATCCTCATGGCACCACCCTAGCCCTGCCCATCTCTCCTTTGGGTCCCCACCATCCTGCAGTGGCACATCAAGGTGCCCAGCGTTGAAGAGTCCACAGGAGGGTACTCTGTTTACTCCTCATCCCCACTCCTGACTGTGCTCACAGGTGGACATGCCCCATGTAAAGTGCAAAGACCAGGAGCTGCAGCCCTTGGGGGAGAGCAAGGTGCATCAGCAGTTCGAGGAGAACCGTGAGGAGGAAGCTGGTGGAGGGCCAGATAGGTGAGGAAGATCCTGTCCCAACGGGTCCACATGGGCCCCTGGGTCCTTCTCGTTCACCCTTTTCTTCCACAAGGTTCTGCCAGTGTTTACTTTTTTTTACCCTCTTCCTGACACAGCATCTTGCTTTGTCACCATGCAGTGGTGCAATCATGGCTCACTACAGCTTCCACCTCCCAGACTCAAGTGATCCTCCCACCTCAGCCTCCCAAATAGCTGGGACTACAGGTATGCCAGAACATCCAGTTAATTTCTTAAAAAATAGTTAGGCCAGGCATGGTGGCTCATGCCTATAATCCCAGCACTTTGGGAGGCCAAGGTGAGTGGATCACTTGAGGCCAAGAGTTCAAGACCAGCCTGGCCAACATGGCCATCTCTACTGAAAATACAAAAAATTAGCTGGGTGTGGTGGGGGTGCCTGTAATCCCAGCTACTTGGGAGGCTGAGGCAGGAGAATTGCTTGAACCCAGGAGGCAGAGGTTGCAGTGAACTAAGACTGTATCACTGCACTCCAAGCTGGGCGACAGACTGAGACTATGTCTCAAAAAAAAAAAAAAAAAAATTTCTGTAGCCTGGGCACGGCAGCTCACTCCTGTAATTCCAGCACTTTGAGTGGCTGAGATGGGTAGATCACAAGGTCAGGAGTTTGAGAATAGTCTGGTTAATATGGTGAAATCCCAAAACCCCATCTCTACTGAAAATACAAAAATTAGCTGGCATGGTGGAGTGCTCCTGTAACCCCAGATACTTGGGAGGCTGAGGCAGGAGAATTGCTTAAACCTGGGAGGTGGAGCTTGCAGTAAGCCGAGACTGTGCCACCGCACTCCAGACTGGCAATGGAGCAAGACTATCTAAAAATATATATATATATTCAGTAGAGGACGGGTGTGGTAGCTCACAACTCTAATCCCAGCACTTTGGGAGGCCGAGGTGAATGGATCACTTGAGGTCGGGAGTGCAAGACCAGAATGGCCAGCATGGCAAAACTTCATCTCTACTAAAAATACAAAATTAGCCAGGTGTGGTGGTGCATGCCTGTAATCCCAGCTACTTGGGAGGCTGAGGCGGGAGAATCACTTGAACCCGGGAGGTGGAGGTTGCATTGAGCCAAGATTGTACCACTGCACTCCAGCCTGGGCAACAAAAGTGAAACTTCGTCTCAAAAATAATAAGGCCAGGCACAGTGGCTCATGCCTGTAGTCCCAGCGCTTTGGGAGGCTGAGGCCATCAGGTGGATCAAGAGGTGAGCAGTTCAAGACCAGTCTGGCCAACATAGTCATACCCCATCTCTACTAAAAATATAAAAAATTAGCCAGGTGTGGTGGTATGTGCCTGTAATCCCAGCTACTTGGGAGGCTGAGGCAGGAGAACCACATGAACCCTGGAGGCGGAGGTTGCAGTGAACAGAAATCATGCCATTGTACTCCAGCACAGGCGACAGTGTGAGACTCCGTCTCAAAATAATAAAAAGATATGACTGCTTTATAGAGAATGGTTGGGAGGGAGAATGAGTGGATGTGGGGAGGTCCAGTGGGAGGCTTCTTCAGGGGGTGGCCGTTAGCAGGGCAGATGGAGGAAGTACTTTGTGCCATGAGGCACAGGAAGAGGATGAGGGAGGATGTCTCCCGGCTGTGGTGGCTGGAGCTAGCTCCTACCACCTTGCAAGAGATGATTCTACACACCTCTTCTCAACTTGGCATTTAGCGTCTTCATGTTGGTAGCTTGAAACTGGCTATGGTGGGAGTCTCTGTACCACAAAAATTGGCAAACGCTCCGAAACAGGGTTTCCCCCCATCACAAAGCCAGTTGCTAAATGCTTACCAGCACATCACTGCTGCCTGCCTTCCAGCTTGTGGTGGTTTCCAGTAGGTGGTGGCTTTTTTGGCAGAGACAAGAACACAAGTTCTGTGTTGTCCTTGTTTTTCTGGGCCATTTGAGGTGGCCAGGGACATCCACATGTCCAGGATACAGTTGGACTTTCTGACCCGGATCTCGGGGTGGGGTGAGGGGCTGGAGATGGCGCCTTGGGAGTCACTGTTTCAGCAGCAGCTGTGGAATGAATGAGCTCACCTGGGGAAAGAATGAGAGGAGGCTCAGGACAGGGCCCTGAGGACCCCAGCAGAAATGAAGCCAGCGTCCCTGGCCCCCCACATTCCTCGGTTGTAAAGTAGGCCATGGGGTGGAATGGTTTCTAGGTGTGTGCTATCAATTGGATACCAAAAAAAGGGAAGCAATGGCTGAAGTCGTTTGTTTGATAATACCTTACTTCGGAATAGCGTGTTTCAACCAGGATCTGTGTGGTGAAGAGACACAGCCTGCTGCAAATCATTTAGAGACTTCAAGGAGCTCCAGAGGAACTCTGGGCCAAAAAACAGATGGATTAAAACCAGTGCAGGGGCCAGTTAATAGATCCAGCAGCAGATACTCAGCAACATGATTAAAATGTTAACACGTTTCCAGAGAGAAAAGAAGAGGTTGAGGAACTGGCTCATCAGCTTCGATTCAAACGTTCCCCCCTTCCTGGCTGTACTTCAGCAAAACATTGTTTTGCCCAAGCGCCAGAGATTCTGTTGTGTTCCCCCCTTGAATGTTTGATTAGCTTGCCTGCTCTCCTGAGACTACCGCCCGCGGTGGTCATAAGTGGCTGGCGGATTGTTTACTTGTGTATCTGTTAGAGGCCACGGAGGGAGGGCCCCACCAGCGGGCGGCTCTGGCTCAGTCGCCTGCCAATCACAGCTTTACCTGGAGCGAACAGATGGTCTGTACGCTTAGACCCATTTCCTCCGCAGCTCCTGGGCCCCCTGCCAGCGTGGGCCCTGCTTGGGAACTATGTCCTAATCCTTGCAGCCAAATTAGGGACTTCTTAGAAGGACAGACCATACATAATAGACGAACGCAGCGATGTGTTCACAGCCCCCAGCCCATTGCCCAATCCCCGCGCAGGACAGGCACGCGCGACGTGCTGTGTTGGGCTGACTTTGCATTCTCTGGCCTCGGTTCAGGGTTCGGCAACAGAAGCCGGCCCAGGAACCTGGAAAGCCAGCAGCGAGGACACCGCGCATTTTGTTTATTAAAGTTAATTGGTGAATGCAGGCCCAGGGAAGCCTATGATGCATTAGCATCCTCATTAATATGCAGCTACTGAGTATTAAGAAAAATGAAATCGAAAGGAATAAATCCCCAAAGGAGAGGTTGGAAAAATAAAGAAGCTCTCAGCAGACATCTGATGCAGGTCTTTATCCTACCATGAAACTTGAATTAGCTGAATTCAAGTGCTTTTTTTTTTTTTTTTTTAACTGTTTGCTTAGCTGTGATGAAAACCGGTTCCAGCCTCATCCCTTGAGCCTTAGAAAGAAGCCGCTCTGAACCATTAGCAGCTCAAGCAGGTTGTGAACAATCACACAAAAAGAAACACCTGGTGCTCTCATTGATTTTAATTTTAGGGTCTGAAACTTGAGAGCATCCAGGAGAGGTTCAGACAACAAGGCAAACTGGGTAGGAGGAGGTGTGGGAGCCCCAGTGTCAGTGCTGCATTCATTTAGATATTCAGCAAACTAATGTTTTTGGGGTGCTGAAAAACAGATGAATAGGGTATAGTCTGCACCCTCAAGATGGTGTGTGCTGGAGGGCACTGATATTCATAAACTGTAGCAGCTTTGTGACCAGCAAGACCACAGTGTTGTGTGAGTAGAGAAGAAAAGTTCCAAACGTTCCATTACGAAGGAGGCAGGAAAGGAGAGTCATTCCAGGCAAAGGCTGAAATGTTTGGCGAAATCGTGGAAGGTCCCCGATTGCTGCAGATGGAGGGGATGTAGAAATCAGTAAGGCTGGGCTCAGTGGCTCATGTCTGTAATCCCAGCACTTTGGGAGGCCGAGACCAGTGGATTACGAGGTCAGGAGTTCAAGACCAGCCTGGACAACATGGTGAAACCCCGTCTCTACTAAAAATATAAAAATTAGCAGGGCGTGGTGGTGGGTGCCTGTAATCCCAGTTACTCGGGAGGCTGAGGCAGGACAATTGCTTCAACCTGGGAGGCAGAGGTTGCAGTGAGCTGAGATCACACCACGGTGCTCCAGCCTGGGCAAGAGATCAAGACTCCGTCTCAAAAAATAAATAAATAAATAAGGCAGCACTGGGTGCGGTGGCTCATGCCTGTAATCCCGGCAATTCGGGAGGCTGAACTGGGTGGATCACCTGAGGTCAGGAGTTCAAGACCAGCCTAGCCAACATGGTGAAACCCCTTCCCCACTAAAAATACAAAAATTAGGCATGATAGCAGGTGCCTGTAATCCCAACTACTCAGGAGGCTGGGATGGGAGAATCCCTTGAACCCAGGATACGGTGGTTGCAGTGAGCTGAGATCTGGCCACTGTACTTCAACCTGGGCAGCTGAGTGAGACTCTGTCTCAAAAAAAAAAAAAAAAAAAACAAAGCAAAAATTAGCTGGGTTGGTAGTGGATATAGTGGGTACCTGTACCAGCTACTGGGGAAGATTGGGGTAGGAGAATTGCTTGAACCTGGGAGGTGGAGACTGCAGTGAGCCAAGATCACGCCTCTGCACTCCAGCCTGGGCAACGGAGCGAGACCCCATCTCAAAAAAAAAAATTAAGGCTGGAATAGAGGGTGGAGGTCAGGGCCCTGGAAGGCCTCGTATGCTATGTGAAGGAATTTAGGCTTGATCTCGTGGCCAGTGGGGGACTGTTTTAGGCTGACCAACAGGAGCAGGAAATCGGATTACAGTGTAGAAGGTCAATAGGGACTGACACTGTGGCTCATGCTTGTAATCTCAGCACTTTGGGAGGCCAAGGCAGGATTGCTTCAGGCCAGGAGTTTGAGACCAGCCTGGGCAACATAACGAGACCTCCATCTACACAGAAAAATTAAACAAAATTTAGCCAGGAGTGGCGGTGCCCGCCTGTAGTCCTAGCTACTCAGGAGGCAGAGGCAGGAGGATCATGTGAGCCTGGGGGAGTTCAAACTGGCAGTGATCATGCTGATGCAC